AAGCTCATATAGCCCTTTCAATATCATTTTGTGTTCACTACCGAGAAGGCCAAATTATTCTCCGCACACCGGAACATCTCATCAAGACAAGTAAAATAATAAGACTAAAACTTCACATTTTTCAACAATTGTGTTTTTCTTTTTTGTTTTTTCAAAATTACACATTTTTATCAATACCAATAAGATATAAGCAATACAAATTTTAAACTTAAAACTAGAAAGAAGTGAAAATATGAAATATAAATATGATTTTCTTCTTAAGTTTTACTAATTCATCCATTGAAAGTGGAATTGTGAGAAAATTGAAGTTTGAGTCTTTTTTTTTTAATAAAAGTGAAAGTATAGGATAAATTTTTAAATTTGATGATAATTGGGGATATATTTAACTAATAATCCTTTCAACAAAAATAAACTTCTGAATTACTAAAATCAACACCTATTATATGAATTTGCCAATTTGGTATACAAAAAGTAAGAATGTATGAATAAAAAATTCAATGACAATACAAATGATGAAACAGCCCGCCAAAAAACAATAATGAAATTGTTTGTAATCATAATTATATTACCACATATATAATAATAATGATCCTATAATAATAATCATACACGGAGTAATCCTATAATAATAATAATCATATTCAAAGTAATAAGGATTTATGATGTTGTATTTGTTGTAGTCTAATTGACAAATGCTTTTAAGGATCCGTCCACTGTACAACCGACTGTACGGTGAGCACCGTACAGCCGGTGGCATTTTTGTAATATAATGTGAAAATCGCGGTTTCTATTAAATGAGTAATGGTGTACAGTTAAGGAGCAATAGTCCAATTTTAATGAGTATTAAGAATCTAATAATGAGCACCTCGTGTTATAACAAGAACGTTGAAACCACAACTAAAAAACGGTGGCATTTTCGTAATTTCAGTGAAAATCGTAGTTTTCGTTAGATGAGCATTAGTACACATTTAATGAGCGTCAGACATATGCTACTGAGTATTAGGAGCCTCACAATAATCATTGTGATTTCTGGTTCATATCTTCTAGCTAATTCACTTTCTTTTTCTTATTTTTTCTTTTATAAGAACTTATTAAATTATATCCATGAAAAACTCCTGTGAACTTCAATATGTGAATCTAATGTAATATGGTAGTTTTGAAATATGCATTGATATGACATTTTAAAAATGAACATAATTTGAGTACAAATTGAGCATATGTAACTTACTAAATGAGCATTGATATGAAATTCATAACTTTTTTTGTTGAGCATCACGACAATTTTGTGAATCTAATGGATTATGATATGTTTAACATGTGCAACCTTTTAAAGTGAGCATAAAATAGTACGAACTGAGCATACATAACCTACAAAATGAGCATCAAAATATTAAAAAAATCATTTGTGTGTGCTCATTCATTTTGTACTCAACGAGTATAACATCGACGTTATACTCATTGAGTTTAACATATAACTCATTTTGAAATATGCATGAATATGACATTTTAAAATGAGTATTGCACTAATATCAAATGAGGATACATAAATTATGAATTGAGCACTGAAAAAATTGAAAAACCTCACTTAAAATACGTTGTGTTCTCAATTATTCAGTTGAGTATACTCATTTTGTTTCTTTTGTAAAAGTATATCAGTGGGGCGGTGCACCAGCCGAATGAACGATAGCAACAAAACTCAGACCACTCAAATTAAATAAGTAGGGTTACTTAATGCTTATTCGATTGATTTTGGTGGAGAAGAATGAAACGATCCACACCAGTGCATCCTCCCCACTAATCCACAGTGATCCTTCTTACTGGATGAATCTGCGCTCGATTCATCTCAATTCTGAAAACGAGTAGTAGTTCGGTTTCTGTCAAGCTCCTCCCAGCACGTGAAGGGGAATCTGAAAATGAAGCCTGTCAATCGCCGTCTCCATAGCAGCTAAAGCCGGAAGCGAGGAAGACGATCGACACCTGCGCACAAATCAGAAATTAGGGATTAGAAATTTATTGAAAGGCTTAATGTTGCTGAATATTACAAAAATACGCGGCTGTACCATGCACAAGGTACAGTCGGCTGTATGGTAGTATTTACCTGCTTTTAACCTTGGTACTATTTATCCGGCCAAATTGGGGTTTAGCTTAGTCCCACACCGGAAGGAGAATACGAGGCACTATTACCCCTGAAAGCTTCAAAACCTATCATGCGCTTAGATACATGTTTAACCTGTCCAATAATGAAGTAGAATACGAGGCACTACTATCCGGCCTCAGGATAGCAAGACATTTCAAAGCCCATAAACTAAGGGTAAAAAGTGACTTTAAGTTGGTAATCAAACAACTTAGAGGGGAATACGAAGCCAATGAAAAACGAATGTAGAAGTACAGAAACACAGCCCTGGAACTTATCAAATAGTTTGAGGAGTCAGATTTGATGTGTGTTCCACGAGCCCAAAACACTGAAGCAGATATCTTATCCAAATTGACAACGGATGCACCTGAACATCTCATGCGCATAGCTCGGATACAAGAGCTGGACAAGCCTATCATCGAAGTCACGAAAGATCTGGAGGTCTTCCCTATCAGACAGGCTCAAAAATCCAGGGTGGAAGAACTAAGGGAGTACAAGGAGGTTGGAACACTGCCTTCCAACGAAGAGAAGGCAAGGCTAATCAAAAGATGGGCTCCGAACTATGTCATTGAGAATGACAAACTTTACAAAAGAAGCTACAATGGCGTGCTACTCAAATGCCTAAGGTCAGAACAAGCTCAGCAAGTGATCAAGGAATTGTACGAAGGGACTTGCTCCTCACATCAAGTGTGAGACCTGCCAAAAGTTCCAAACAAATCCCGGCAGGCCTGCTACGCTTTACCATCCCATCAGTACTGTGATTCCCCTCTCCAAGTGGGGAATAGATCTCGTCGGGCCGTTTCCTCCAGGCTCAGGAGGTCGGAAGTTTGTTATAGTCGCCATTGATTACTTTACTAAGTGGGAACAACTTGGGTGGACGAGCTCAACAATGCGTGGAATTCTGAACACTTGATGAAATTCTACCAGTAAGTATGTAGTTTCGTTTCATTCTAATACAGTTTGTTTTCTTTCACGAAAGTTCTTTTAAAACACTTGCGAAGGTTTCTTAACCAGCCAAATCGGTACTCGCAAAAAGCCAAAGTTCAAATTCCAGACTCATCCAAAATTCTAAAGCTCAACTTAGTCTTACCAAAAGACGAGAGCAGGAATAAACGACCTTTTTCAAGGTCAAACAACCTTATAAACAAAGTCCAATTTCCTCAAACAGGAAAAGATGGCCTTTTTCAAGGCCAGAACTGATCTACAAAGGCTAAAGGATAAATTAAGGGAATTAACTTTGCACCAGAGAGACCACCAGGCCTCGCCAATTTATAAAGAGGTTCATCACAAGGCTTAATTGACCTAAGGTGAAGAACCCACCCTATTTTGGTTCAGAAAATAAGAACCTAAGGGTTTAAAATTGGTAAAGTTTTCCAAACTGGTTAAGAAATTAGGAACCTAAGGAAAGCAACCTTGACCGAAAATTCAAGTCCTAAATTAATAAGGACAAAAGTGATTGAAAATAAACTGGTTGGTCTAGCAAACATGGTCAGACCTGGAGGTCGTCCCACGGCTCCTAGATCATATGGGCTCAATATCAAGAGACCAACTTCCCAGAGAGATCAGTAAAGGAAGAAGCCAGCCAGAATTAAGGCTGGACAGCCTCAAACATGTCTGAGGATGTTAGGCAGATCAGGTAATCAACACCGGAGAAACAAACAAAGCTAGCATGAAGATGGTGCCGCAGACAGAACAGATCGGAAGTATCAGGCGGTCATTACAGCTAAATACATCGGATGGGTCCACCCTTTTGTTTCATTTTGGGAGCATCCGATGTACTCTTTTTCCCTCGCTAGGATTTTTTCCCACTGGATTTTTCCTAGTGAGGTTTGTAACGAGGCATCTCCCCATATGGACAAAAGGTGACAGCACTCGGTCCTTAGAGGAGTCATTACGAGGCATTCACTACTCTACTCCTCTCTATGTCACCACACCCGCCTCAAAGAATGAAGAATTTCAAGAATGAGAAAGGAATCAAATTACTCCTCTAAAATCCAGCTCCGCTGATTTTAAGGAGTAGGGGGCTTGTGATGATACCATGGACTCTGACAATGGCCCAATTACATAATCCAGCCCATAACGGGATCAGCCCTCTAAGGGATTAGCCTAATTAACAGGATTAGCCCATCAACGGGATCATCCCATCAATCGAGATCAAGGACAAATAGCCGCTGAGCCTAATTAGGAATCAGACCCACGACAGGAACCCACAGCCAGGCCGGGCTGGACAGCAGACCTCGAGCCTGGGCGGAGTTCTAGTGAGGCCGGGATATTCCTAAGGTTTACGTGGCAGGCAGTTATTCGACATAGCTATTTGGCAACCGGCAGGACTCGTCCGGAGTTTAGAAACAAGAAGGATACAATTAATGCTTGACGTCCAAGGCATGAGATGAGTTTTATTTCGAGCAAGAATATAGTTCATTAATTAGCATTTATTGTATTAGATTCCTCCTAAAATATCAACTCCTAAATCCTATAAATACTGATGTACATATCTTGTAAAGAGGAGCCTCTCCATACGAATAATAGTACTAAATAAGTCTTATTTCGTGATAAAACATACTCTTCCGTCCCTTAAAACTTTGCCAAGTTTGACCGACACGGAGAATAATAAAGTAAAAACTGTGTGGTTGAGGTTTGTGCAGAGGAGAAAGAAATAACGGGAACCACAAAATAATCGATTAAAAGGGAAAGTGACAAAGTTTTTCGGGACGTCACAAAAAGAAAAGATGACAAAGTTTTAAGGGCGAATTTAGTTTTAAGGGAGTATTTAATTTTATTTATGAATTTTGTGTATCTTTTAGTCTTAGCATATCATTGAACCACTTATATAAAAGGAAATCACCTTCCTATATACAAATTGTGCCCGGTAATCCCTGTGATATAAAAATCTACCCTTAATGATCTAAGGACCATATTCTGATCGCAGCCATCCACAGTAATTTGGGTAAACTCCATATATACCGGTACTAATTTGGTATGGCCGAAATAAAGTCAAGGTGAGATCTGAGATGATCAGAAATACGTACAAACGGTCAACAGAATCTTGCAGACAAAACTAACTGTATCTACGTACGTTTGTTTTAACAGATTCCCCCACTCCCATTGTCGTCTCAACACCTTCAATTCATCCCTCTTCTCAAATCAATTAGCTGCTAGCTATCCCATGGAACAAAGATCGTCGTCATCCACCAAGATCCTCAGAAGATCAGTCTTCACATTTCTGCAGAACTACCAGTACTTCACCACCACAGCAGCATTCCTGGCTTTCCCGTTTGCAGCCTCACTTCTCCTTCTCCGATCATCCTTCCTTATCCCCGCCGCCTCATCCTCCTCTTTCCGGCGGCTAATCCACGCCCGAATTCACTCTCTTTTCCACGCTGCCGGATTCCCCCCTTCCTCAATCCTCCAAGCAAAGATCTCCCAGACCATCTCCATCTCTGTTCTTTCCATCCCTTCCACGCTTTCCTCATTCCTCTTCTGCAAAGCCGCCGTGATTCTCGCTCTGGAAGATCAAGAACGCCCCAAGAACCCGCCTTTCTTCTCTTTTTTCAAAATTTACGGCCCGTTAGTTCATACCCAGATCAGCAATTCCTTACTGACCCTCTCTGTAAATGCAACCTGCTTCGGATTCATGTTCATAGCCTTCACTCTGGCTGATGGGTTGGGCCTTTCTTACTGCTTCCCCTGGTTCATCCCCTTTCTTTCTGCCATTGGAGCTCTGGTTTTCTCCATAGCTGTTGCCTGCACCTTCATCATCTGCAACCTCACATTGATTACAACAGGAGTGGACAAAAACAATGGAGGATTCATCGAAGCTGTCAAAAAAGCATCATCTTGTGTTGTGATGGTCAAGGGAAGGACGGGAACAGTTCTGTCATTAGCTATGTTCATCAATGTTGTACTTGGTGCAGTTGAGGCTCTGTTTCAGTACAGAATAGTGATGAGGGCTTATCATCATGAAGATGAAGAAACGATTTGGAATTTCCCAGCGGCAGTGGGAATGGAGGGAATGTTGATCGCCTATTTGTACGCTCTTGTCCATGTTCTTGACACCATTGTTGGCTATTTTTTTCTTCAGACATGTCAAGATGGAAGCTTGCCATCCCAGCTGCCCATTCAAAAATTGTTGGAGAAGAGTTGCAATGCTATAGTTTAATTAGTTAAAAAAAAGAATCAGAAAAATGTTTCATTCAGTTCAGGTGCATGCTTACATCCGCCGTCAATTCAATTCACATTATAAATGACAAATAAACAGAAAATATTTTTCCAATCCGTTTTTTCTCTTGTACAGAGATATCTGTTTGAAGTAACATACTTGTATGTACTCAATGAAATCATTAAGACGTGTAAAATGTAAAGATGTTTTTTTCCTATAGTTCTTATTCTTGTGGTTAGGATTCTTCTTTTTAGGGAAATTTACTAGGATATGACTAAAACTCAATCAGTTTCTCAATTTATGACCTAACTAGTTTTTATACCTTTGTATGACCAAAAATCCAAAAATAAATAGAAAATTCGTTCATATTTAAATGTTGAATGACAAAAATACCCTTATTTAAAATATATAGATTTTGCACTAATTTTGTACAATTAAAATTAATGCACTTTATATTGTCGTTAATGCACAAAATTAATGCATGACTATATGTATTGCACATCCGGTATTAATCACTGCACTTCCCCTAAAATTAATTCTCTTCTTATTCAATTGAGGATTGTTTTCTAAAATTTAATAATTTTATTATTTTACGTCTAATTAAGTATATTGCATTTCATGATGATATCAATGCTTTGTGTTAATGCAACACTAGTTATAATCACAGCACAACAAAATTTCTTAATGCATTCGTTCACTGTCATGTACAACATGTCTATTACCATATATATTCATTGTCAATACTCCACACATATTGAAATGTTCAGTGACGGTGTTCAATGCACATATTTAATGCCCACAAACCCTAAATTCAATATAAAACCAAATCTAAAAAAAATAGAGGCGCTGGGCAACAGTTTGGCGTTCAAGGCACCGACTAGTGATGTACGTATTCATTGTGCTCCTTGTTCTCTTCTGCGATTAGTGCAATTTGAAAATTCACAAACCCAATTTGATCTCTCTCTTGTTTCCCTGCAAATATTCTCTTTTGCCTCGATCTTGTTTTTCTTTTCTTTCCGTTGTGTAGAATTAACAGATAATTCACATGAAGTCCACAACCTTTCATTTTGATTGACCGAAACATACCTCCCAATTATTCAAAAAGATATTCCGATCCATAAAAGCCAAAGATCCAGACAAACGGTGCAAACTGGAAAGTTCGTTTTTTGGTTCACGACTTTACTCCCATGTCGGACTTCGGTGGACAACGGCACCGCTGGACGCATTTTGGCCGGCGATCGTGCTCCTGGATGGCGGCTGACGGCGGGCCATGGTGCAGCGGCGGCAGGGAATGTGCAGCGGCAGGCAGATGGATCTCTAGAGGTGGGAGAATGGAGGCTAGGGTTGGAAAAAAGAGTAGGAGCTTAGAGTTTTATAGATATAACATAAAGGGTATATTTGTCCACCTATATTATTTATTTAATTAATTAGTACGAATTTAATTAAATATTAGTATTATTTTAGTAAAAAAACTAGTTAAGTCATAGATTGAGAAACTCATGGAGTTTTAGTCATATCTAGGGTAATTATTTCTTCTTTTTACGAGTCATTTTTTTGCCATCTTTAAAATTTGTGTCTGTTTTAGATGTGAAACGTATGCCCATTCGTGTGTTATAAACTTCTCCACAGACCACAAAACATCAATTCAACATCATAGAAGTATAAGAAAGGGATCGAGCATCTATTGAAATTGACACTTACCAAATACGAAGTACCAAGCAAGTAATTTAGCAATTACGTTATATGTCAAATGGTTAAAGTTAATCAAAGCTGTCATTTAGACGAAATAAGGTCTTAGTCTTACCACCAAAGCCTACATTTTCAAAGTAAATTTTGTGTTTAGTTACGTAAGATCTAAGCTAAAACTACCATCCGTCTAAAATACATCATATCGACGGGCTACCCACGAAATGTGACACAATTTTCTTTGTTACTAGACTAGATTTATGCCGATAGATTTTAAGTCTCTGTCCGGAAGTTGGTAAAACTGTCGAGACTATTAGGACAACTATATCCCTAATTGCCAATCATTCAGGGGATTAACGTCGTCACAAAAGACTTTTTATTAATAATAAATTATTTCTAATAATAATAGTAGTAGTGGTGGTAATAAATACTCCGTAATAATAATAAGAACAACAACCATCATAGTAGTAGTAATAATAATAATATTAATATTAATAATAGTATAATAATAATCATAATAATAATAATAATAATAATAGTAGTAGTACTTTAGAAATAAAGTATGTTAGTCTCACTTAGGTATTATTACTGTAATTATTTATGTACACAAAAACATGGGCGGATCTATGTTGGGGCAGGGGTGGGCTCCAGCCCAGCCCAGCCCAATTTATTTTTATTATTATAGGTATAGGTTTAATTTCCAGCCCACCTCAAAATTAATGTATAGCCCAGCCCAAGCCTACCAACTTTGTAATTCTATTTGATTATTATTTGAATTTTTCAGTAGATAGTAAAATAGTTTTTATTTATTATAAATTTATAATGATTAAAGATAGAATTAAAGATTAGAAAATGATTTATTTATTATGCAATTAAAGAATAGAGAACGATGTATTTACTGTTTAGGCATGTAATAAAGAATGGATTCAAAATCTCAATTCAATTTTAAAATTGGGAATACTTATTAGATTTATGTACATCGACTATTTTTACTTATTAGTGTTATACTTTTATAGAAGTATTTTAATACATATCAATAAATACTAAAATCTTTACTAATCAATAATAAAATTATAAATCACACTAAAAACGTTTAAATTTTAGATATACTACCTCCGTCTCGTTTTTTTAGCCATCTTTGACTCTTTAGTCAAAGATGGTAAACTTTGATCCATCATTTTAACTCATGTATTAATGTGAAACTTACTAAATTTATACTTTTATGATAAACTTTTTAACAAAGAACATTTCCATTTCATTTTCATATTATCAATTTTATTGGATAAATATATAGTCATTCAGAGTTTAACTTCTTTGACTTCAAAAGCCAAATTAGTCTTAATAAAAGTGGGCGGAGGTAGTATATAGTTTATTTCTATAATTTATAAGTTATCAATATGCTCGAGTCCAGATCGAACTGAACATGACTATGCTCGAATTCAGCTTGAATAACTATTCAAACTCAAAAAAATAACGGCCGCTTTTTTTGTAAAAACAAACTATTTAAACGAAAATTTAGCCCGTGTTTGAGATTGAAGCTCGTTAAGATTTGGTCATTAAATTAAATTCAAAATCACGATCGAACTCGAGTAGTTCGAAAAAAAAACTTAGTTCAATAACTATTAGCCCTAAGCTAAACCTTTTGTATACAGTAACAAAAATTTTTATTGCTTAGCCTACCCCACCCCTCATTCCTGGATCCGCCCCTGCACAAAAACCTAAATGAAATATTTAGTGGGTGTTTCCTGTTGCTAAAAACGTTTTTTCTTAAAAATGTTTTGAAAAAAAGTTCATTAATTTTAAAATTGGTGCTTTTCATTAATTTCAGGTACTCAGGTGTACCTAAAGCAATTAATTGCTAGCGCAATTGCTTTCACACACTTTTTACAATTAATTACTTGTTTCATAGTCTCTATTCACTAAATAAATAAGTCCTTGCAGCACATGAATACACATACAATGCCTTACCCATATGTCCCAATAATTTATTTAATTTTGTCCATATTCACGATCAATTAGCTATGAATTATGAATCCTTTCACAAATTCGTGCACTTGAAACGCAAGTCACAATCTTGCATATTAGAAAAAAGAATTTTCAAACTAGTTTTTTTCATTTATTTGACTTTATGGTTTGGAAAACCACAAAGATCATTTTAGCTAGGAATTACTATATATAATTGCTTGGTTCATTATTTTGTGATGTACTGATGGCATGATTGGCATCATATTTGATGCATGTTAGATGCCTAAAATTGTACTACTATAAAACTGTGAATTTGTGTATGTATCAATGTAATAACTTTTTTTTACATGCAGTACGTAGGAAATGATCTCGTAAGATATCATACAAAACTAGCCAGAGCATATATAGTGCATTAGTGCTCAGCCGTGTGGTGTCTTAGTGCCTAGCATATATAATGTGGATGCACCACTTTTTTATATAAGGAATTAAGTAGGGCCGGGTATGGAACCTTGTGGAAATGGAAAAATTAAATAGTTAAGCACAAATCAGAAATTTGTGTTGGCAATATAATGTATTTCTTTTTATCAACACAAAAGTTCAAACCAATAGCAAAGAGGCAAAAACATTTGGGTAATAATATTTTCCTAAAATATTATGTGTTTATTTCTTTTATCATAACAAAAGTTCAAACCAATATCAAAAAGAGGCAAAAACAACTAGCAAGAAATAATAAATTATTAATTTTATTATTAAATAAAAAGTGAAAAGTTGTAAATAAATATTTTAATCCAACACAAATAATCAAAAATTAGTAACTACTCCATCTCTCACGAAGACCAAAACAAAACCAGTTGCATAAATTGAAATGACAACATTCATTATTAAATATATTAATTACCCAACTCCATGGTATAACTAATATATATAGTTAAATAATTAAATTCTCCAAAAAAACTTGAACCCGAAACAAAGTAAAAAAAGTTTAACAGTGTGTTCCAAAAGTGTCATTTAAATTTGATGTCAAAAAAAAACAATATGTTTAATTTATGATTGAGTAGTCATTATATATATCACAAACACAAGTTAAATTATGTTTTTGAACACAACAATTAATTATATAGAACAAACTTAATAATTCAAACTCAATTCAAATTACACCATGATAAGAACAATAAACCAATCAATTTCTAGCCCCAAGTTTATTTATGAGAGGACGGCGAAAATAAGATTTTTAGGTATCTGTAAAAAAAAGATAACACTACTTTTGAATCTATACAAAAAAGAGACCTACTATATGTAAGTAGACATATATACCACCAGCAAGTGACCAATTTTCAGCGTCAGGGTGATGGTCACTGTGATTGACGGTGGTCACTATGACTGGCGGTGGTCTCTAAGGCATTGGTCATGATAGGGCCCTGGGCTGTAGAGAATTATAATAGTAGTAATAGATCGATATTAAATAAGTGTAGTATTTTATAAATAAGGATTCTAGACCATGTCATAAAATATGAGCTGGCCCGTTAGAATATAATTACTAT